ACAATATCCTTGCCGTCCAAATGTGATTGATACCAATTAGAAGCAATCCAGTTCATTCTGTGGAATTTGAGAAAAAATAAATATACCTAGTAGTATAATCCTCATTGCTCTCCTCAGGATTAATTGGAGAAAAACATTGTTCATGAAACTCATTATCAAATAGGATAGTCGTTTGAGCAGGATCTTCTAAGGAATTTTTTATTCTGGTGAATGGTCGGCGATTTGGAGCCTGTGATTGAACCTAAAAAAGGTTATACAATATTAAATAATACATAATTCGCGGTCGACAATGTCACAATAACAGCTTTTATTTCTTGAAGTTCGAAAACCTCCCAGAAGTAAGCTGCATAGAAGCCATCAACGATTATGTAGTATTGCATATCAGGCAGAGCGAAGGATCCATCTGTCGTCATGACCAAATACTAATTACCATTGTTGCATAATGGATTAGTGCAGCAAGAAATTTTACACGATATATTCTTCCTTAAATAGACTTCGCGAGTCACGCAAACCTCACGACCTCTTGGGGTCTTAAAGCAGACTACTTTGTCCGCCTTAGTTCTGGCGATCACATAAGGAGAACGCATGGTAAAGGCAATACCAATGTAAGCGCCAAAAAAATTATTTAAATTTTCCATTAAAAGCTTATTTCAACGTTTTTTAAAATTAATTATTTAAAAATATGAATTTAAGTTTGCTGATGTTGATAACATTACATGGTACTATATTCATACTCTCTTGTTTTGGTATGTCAGGCGACGCTGTGCCCATCGCACAACTTCCAATTACTCATCTGGTTGAAATCGCCAAACAATACAAGCAAAAAATAGATTTTCTTTCGACTTCAATCAAACAACTTAAACTATTGCAAAACCAATTCTCTTCGTCTAAGGACTGCCTAAAAACCTTTCAGCCAGAAAACAAAGATAGTGAAATTCTTGTTCCCTTGACTTCGACGCTTTGCGTCCCTGGGCATTTGAAAGATGTAGATAATGTCATGATAGATATCGGGACAGGCTATTTTGTCGAAATGGTTAGTCTCAATAAATTTACATTCCAGTCTATTGATCAAGCAAATAGCCACTTCAAGCGGCGAATGGAACACCTAGACAAGCAGGTGGAGAAGATTGCTCCTATTTTAGAACAAAGTATCCAGATCCATAGATCTGTTTCACTTGTGTTGAGAGAAAAGGAGACTGCTGAATCTAAGTCATCCTCTGGAACAGATTGATCATATAATTAATGATGATGCAATTCTGTTCGTTGATTATTTTTCATCACTAATAACTCAGTTATTCTAATTGTACAGATTAATTGTTTCCAGTTATCTCATTACAGTATACGCCTTGGTATGGTTTTTCACGATAAAAATAGAATGCATGAGGTGTGCAATCTAACTTGATTTATCTTAGTACGATTTATATATAGTGGTAATTTGGCGTTTGATTTTTAGACATTGAAGTAATAATTGATTTTAGTGCTGACCATTTATTAAGCCTTGCAAGATATTCTTATGCTACTGCCAGTCCATCCATGTACATTATTATTCTAGATCTGTGAGCCATCATAATCATTGTCCATATTGGATCAAGTGTGTATAAATAACTCTGCTTTAGTGAATTATTCAATTGATCATTTATCTTAGCCTTCGTTTTTCTATGAAAGTGCGAGGCAAAGATTCTTCCCGTTCGATACTATGGCGTTTTTAGCAGACACGGTAGGCATATACGGCGACTCGTCTGTCGATGCTACTATCTGGCACCCTTTCCCAGGATTAGTGCTAGATAATATTTAATAGAGCAGTTTCTGATTACGACCATACTTTCTATAGAACCGGCGTGCTTTATTCTATAAAAGCTAATGGGTTGCTTCTTTAGCTGCTTTGACAAAAGTATCACACAGATATTCAATTATTGCAGGCTCGATGCGATTCCTTTTTTTATTTGCTTATGGTATTTTATCATAGTAGTTTATCGCTGAGGCGCTATTTTGTCAAACTCCGATTCAATTTATACGCGGTTATATCATACATAGATTATTATGCATAGGGTCTTGTTTACTTAGATCTAGTTTAAAGTCGGCACATGAAAACTGCAAAATGCGTACAAGGGAGTTGACCTCGTTATCGCAGCTTGGCCTTGTTGCCAGTGCGACTTAGTAGAACCCATCTAGTCCGAAGTCTGTCAGTAGTTGTCATGATTCCCAGCATCAGACAGTGGACTTGGTACATTCACAAACATTTCGCCGGCATCATCGGTTCGTTTTGCCATTCTCTGCACCAAGCTACGGATTCGTCATAGACAAGTGAAGTCAATCTCTCGACAAACGTTCTTCCGAAAACGGTTACACTATCATTCCTCTTTTTGTCCTGACCTATCTATCTACTCTTTACTCTTATCCAACCCCCGCCCTATCACGACTTCTTACTTGTTTACATTCCACCCGTCAAAATGTGTGCTATTTTGTGGCAAATCTAGTGTGGCCTCATCACACTCGATATTCATCCCGACTACCTTTCGATCGGCTAATCCCACTCGGATCTCCAGTCCGGATCCCCCTCATGGTTCCGTAGATC